AAGTAAGTAGTTCGTACGTACGTACTATAATAGTACTATATATGTAATATATATATATATATATATATATACGTATGTAGTGTAGTAGTAGTGTATGTGTGTGTGTGTGTGTGTGTGTGTGTGTGTGTGTGTGTGTGTGTGTGTGTGTGTGTGTGTGTGTAGAAGATAATAAAAATGGGAAGAACTCACAATGGAGGATAGGCATATGAAAATAGATTCAACCAATCCAGACTCAGAGCATCCAATGCCAGAGTTGTAGAATCTGAGACTTCAGACAAAGACGACTAATGTGGGAATTCATAAAGGCATTGATGATAGGGCTCTCATGGTGGAAAAAATTCACTGAAAACACCAGAAGATGGAGAGACCACTCAGCCTAGGTGAAATATAGTTGATCTACAACCAGGGTCTAAGCCCCAAAGAGAAAGTAAAGCAAGGAAATCAGAGGCCCTGAAAGAAAGTGCTTCCCTGTCAGTGAATGGAAAAACATGATGGAGAAGGTGTTTGAATGGATCATAATAAGAAGGTAATGGCAAGCTCATTGAGCAGCCAACATTTCAAGAACATTGATAGAGAGAGATCTCTCCTCTGACATCCTCAGGTGTCCAGATCCATGTATTGCTTGAACAGAGAGACATCAGTTGACAGGTTTTGTCTGTAGGTTTGGTTGTTGTCAAACAAAAACAGATACACATTGTGCCAAAAGTGCTGTACCCACCATAGGTCTAGAAACCTGATATTTCAGCATGATAAGTTCACAGACCTTTGAGCCACTAGGAATTTGACCAGATGCAACTCCAGGTGAGGTGGGTGTAGAGAAATGCCTATGGCCATGTGTGATCAAATTAACCACAACAATAGCAAAAGAAAGAGAGATAAGAGAAGACAGTTGATCTCTGAATATATCTGCATTAATTTGCCAGGATCCACTGAAAGGGATACATGTGCTCATCCAAGAGAAACAAGCGACTCAAGAGAAGAGAGTTCCCCCAAAACAGATAAAGCCTATCATGCAGGAAAATAAGGAGACATATGCTCCATGACTCGAAGACATAAATAATAAGGCTAGGCTGAGAAAAAATCCCAGGTGAAAAAAATAATGGGTGGGGGTCAGGACTAAATTGGAGAGCCAAACCAGTCAACCCACTCCTTAAGTTGCAACATTGGATGGGGCAGGCAAAAGCCAAACATCCATAGAATAGTGTAACAGTAGAGTCATGGAAAATAACCACCAAGCGGGAGCCTACCAGACCCAACTGAAAACATAATGAGCTGTAGCAAACCAGAAAAGAAGGACCATGAATCAAATGTCTGAATAATATGGATGAACCAAAGGAAGCAAAAGGTGGGCAAACAAATCAAGAAAGGGAGAAAACATTTGAGACATCAGTACTGGTCATACACATTGATATGATATGGTTAAGTCTTTTAGCCACTGTGAGAAGGAAAAAAATCAGTGAGCATCAATAACCTCCACAGGTATAGAGAGAATTCATAAAAAATTCGAAATGATGACAGGACCGGTAGTTTTCAGAAATGTCTCCTGTAAGATAATTCATACAGGATGCTAAAAATGAACCAAGGCCATGTTGCCATCCACATTAGTACAAAAGCTGTAACAATGTGGCCATTCTCAACTAAACTATTGAAGAGATCTTTTAATTATGACTGCTTTTCTTAGTTTTTACAGATTAATGAGCTATGAAAAGGTGTTTTGGAGTGTCCAAATCATTCACAGTGGAAGTAACAGAGAGGATTAAGAATGTAACTATCAAATGATATTATCACTAGTAGGGTACAAAGAAGTAGCAGATCTATTAAACACAAGTTTTACAAAAATATTAAACACTAATAAAAGTGTGTCTGGTGTCTGGCCAGGATTTTGTAAATAAATAACCCAATCTCCAAATAAAAACACTACAATCCAGAATGAAAATATACAAAAAAACTAATGCTGTTAATACCAAAATCCCAAAATAATAAGAGCAATAATAATAAAAAAAAAAGAAATAGGAGAAAAAAATTCACAATAACTATATTAAACGTTTCCCCTTGAAATAGCATTAAATCACAAAAAAAAAGATCAAGCAAATACTTGGAATAATATTTTTTAATAAAAATGTTTTATAAACATTTAACCTAACAACTTTCTCTTTCATCACTTGTGAGTAACTTCAAGTTGTAAGGCTTTTTATTATCTTGCTGGACAACAAGATTACATGTCACATGAAACACAACTAAGTACTTAACATTTATTTTACATAATTAATCATGAACTTAGTATCCATGCATCACCACTAAGGGAGCCTTAGTGTTGATGTCTTAATATAAGAATGACTTCTTTAATATTCAATATACACTTGAAACAGGTGAGCTAGCAATAGATAGAAGCAAAAACACAAACGATAAAGTAGAAACTCAAAACAAATTAGAAATTGTTACTTCATAGGAATACAGAGCCAAATTACATCTCAAACAACCTGCCTGTAGATCAACAGATGATCAAGGTGATGTAATGTCAACATAAGCAAGCTTGTCAGCTCAGATTTTCCATTTTGGGAATGAGAGATTTGCTTGACAGTTGACATCATTTGACTGGAGAGTTCATCAAGAATCATAGTCTCCGAGATATTAAGAAGACCACTCTTGACTACGACTCCTCTTCGGTAATTCAAAATATTGTATGGTTACCTCAAAGGTTATTCATTCAATAGCCTTTGACTTCAAGAGGAAGTTACTGTTCTGTGCTCTTGATGTTTTAACCAACAGGCTCCAAGATCATAATTTATACTATAGAAAAATAGCAAGCTTCTCTAAACCATTCTTTATGAAGGAAGTATATATCTTACCAAATGATATTTCTGATAACAAATGGAGAATCATAAAGCAAGGTACATGTATTAATGGTGGCACCTGTGCATTTGCACAGTTGTTAGCACATAAATCACTTGATTTTTAGTTTATTCTTTGATGTTTTATATCCATAAAGAAGAGACAAAATATTCAGTTCCAATTGATCCCATTCATCATGGAGTCCTAAACAGGGTCATTCATTCTACACTGTTAAAAAGCTCAACATATTCATGACAGTACAGAAACTTCAGGTTTTTGTGGGCACTATACCCAAGTACTTGCATCAGACAATGTCTACAACATCCACTGACAAAGGCTAATACTGGTACTCGGTTCACCTTTGCCACAAATGGCCCTGAGAAAACTACCTTAGTACCTTCTTTTAACAAAATATCAAGCCCAAAGTAATGTGTTACAATGATCTAGGCACCACTCAACTATCAAGATCCTCTCCTCCTTTGCATAGGTCTTCAAACATGACAAACACATGAGTAAATGTTTGGCTCAGATGCTAGAGTAGGTAAGCTACATAGGCCAAACCTATTCAGAGGGATCCTGTCCACATGTACAGGAATCCACATCTAGGGGTGGTGGGTGGAATATTTTAACCAATTATTTTAGACTGGTAAGAGAGAAATACTGGCATTAAGGTTAGCAGCTAGCACAATTACAATCATAAATCCTCATGAAAATGTATTAAATAGCCAAATCTCAAAAGAAATATAGAATGGACAAGTAATATTCCACAAAAAATTAACCTTTGGGATTTTTCAAAGTCAACCTGGTTCAGGATATGCAGATAGGCCTCCATGGTATTCAAGAATAGTATGATTCTATCTTAAATTGCAAAATAAAAGAGATACTTGTAGTGCTAAACAGTTGTTCCCAACATAATGGTTCCCAGTTTTTCAAAATTACAAAAAGAGAGAAATAAAAGATTGGTTCAAAATTATCAATAAAATTGTTTTTGGAATATATATAACAAAGATATGTATCTATAAAACAATTTAAAGATAAATACCTAGTTTTATGTGAATAAAGCCTCTACTCAGGCCAAGTACCAGTCTTGTCATGTATCAGCAATTGATTTACTTCATATGGATATGCATGCGTGATTTTACTGTTTATTGACGTAAATAATTTATCTATTATGAAGTCTGAAAATTAATCACCAACTTATAAAAAAAAAAATTCTAATTCACGAGTTACATGATGGCTATTCTTTCATAATTGAACACACAAATATCCCTGAAACTTGGAGCAAGTCAAATTATAATTCATTTTTGATTTTGAATGCTAACTTTAAAATGCATATTTAGTTATTACTTCATATCTGTAAAGAAATTTTCAAAATTATTCTCGATAAATCAAACAGAAAGATTAATTTAAACTTAAAAGGAAAAAACTGTTATAATCAAATTACATGCAACATATGTTCAAACCGTTTTTAATATTACTAACCCTATCACTATAAGTAATTTTTTACAAATTATGCATGTAAACACTAAAATATTATGCTTACTTTAGATTTGATATATATATTAACATAACCTACGCACAGAAGAGGGTCATTTGGACCTTCCTGCAAGCTCACCCTTTCCTTTTCTGTTTTCACTTTCAGTTTCACAAACTGTGACAATTTTATTTCAATCACCCATTCCCCTTTGACTTTGTGATTGAGGCTTAAAATTAAATTTAGTTAAAATTAAAAGTATTAGAGTGGAACTGTAACACTATTCACTAAATAAAAACGGGCTTGTAAACTAAGTTACTGTTTTGCAACAAGAACTACAACTTTTAATTTTACGAAACTTTGTTCTGTTTTACTTGCCAAATTGCAGCATCTTTTTATACCTAGTCAGTTCTAGTCGAACCTGTCAATATAGATGATACTCTTTGACGTATTTATTCACTACTGTTAAAGTTCTCATATTCACCACACGATGTCGCCATATGGTTTTTCGTAACTCGTCACAAACTAATCGAAGAATTATGTCATTTACAAAATGTAGTGCTTTTCTGACGGCAGTTTAAGATTTGTTTCCCAAAGTTGCATTTCTAAATGACACCTGATGTATATCTATTGCCGAAACTAGTTGTGAATAATACTCTTTCTTGATTTTTTTTTTTTTGCGTGTGTGTGTGTGTGTTTATAGGGGCCGTTAATAAAGTTTAATGACTTAAAAAATAGCTTGGAAATAATAATCATAGATTCAACATTTAGGTTTGTATTGATACTCGCTATCTAAGAGATGTCTTTACAATTTAAGTAAACTGTTTGCAGTTTCAGCTAAATTGTATGTGAAATTTATATATTGCATACTTCGTTATCCTCTCACCTCTCTTACCATGGAAAATTATAAATGGACTTACCAAAAGTAAGTATATAAGTTGACAAGTTGGCTGGAAAAAATACTTGTTGATTTAGTAAATGTGCATAACAATGTATAATCTCTCATTCGTTTTATTAAATCACCTGTATATTTATAAGTCTACATGTATATTTATGGAATGTGCACAACAAGTTTCAAAAACTATATGTTTTCTAAATGGTTGGCCCGACATGACCAGGTGGTTAGGCCGCTCGACTTGCAATCCGAGGGTCGTGGGTTCGAATTCCTGTCCCACCAAACATACTTGCCCTTTCAGCCGTTATAATGTGACGGTCAATCCCACTATTCGTTGTTAAAAGAGTAGTCCAAGAGTTGGCGGTGGGTGGTGATGACTAGCTGCCTTCCCTCTGGTCTTTCACTGCAGGGACTGCTAGCGCAGATAGCCCTCGTGTAGTTTTGCGCGAAACTCAAAACAAACAAACAAATTTATATGGTCATATCGATTCACCATTCTACATGTCTACTTATAAACCTGCGGGCGATTTCATAAAATTAAGGGGAGATTATGAATTATCATGTACATTTATAAATGGACAAGTGTATTTCTTAGCCTACTTGTCAATTTAGAAATAGTAGGGACATTTATTAACAACAACAAAAAAATGCAATATACATATAAATTGCGAACAATTTAACTTAAATTGCAAAATTACACTTGGTACTAATAGTAGTGGCATTTATGAAGTAAAATTGCAACATTTGAATTGCAAATTTACACTTAGCGCCTCATATTAAACTATATGTTTATTTTCTACATGCACATCTCGATTTATAAATTTACAAGCGATTTAATATAACTGTGTGACATTGTATTGCAAGCTCTCTCACATTGATACAATCTGTTTGCAGATCTTTGTCAGATGATGATCTCGATGGGTGGAATGGTCTTAACAGTATTAAATATTTAAAATTTTTTGTACGTCAATTGAAGAATATTTATTTAATTTTTCCTTAGTATGCCGAGATATCACGTTAAATTATTAGTTTTTTTACTGTGCTATTTATTATTGTTTCACAACTTATTCCATTTAAAAAGCTCATGCCTAATAGCTTTTATATTAAATAAATATTTGGGTTTGGCATGGCCTGATGATTAGGGTGCTCTACTCGTAGTCTGAAGGTCACAGGATCGAAATCCGCCATAAACATGCTCGCCCCTTGAGCCGTGGGAGCGTTGTAATTTGACAACCAATTCCTATATTAGTTGGTAAAAAGAGCATTCCATGTGTTGGTGGCGGATGATGTTGACTGGCTGCCTTACCTCTTGTCTATCACGCCAAAATTTGGAAAGGCTAGCTTAGATAAACCTCGAGTGGCTGTACGCGAAAATTCAACAAACAAATAATCGAAACTATGCGAGGAATTACATATATTCTCACCCAGAAGTGATGAATGTAATGTCGATATAATTACTATTATATACATATATATATATACGACATCAATGGTGAACATCATTTTGTAACAATACATTTTAAGCGAATCATGCCCAAACGTTAAAAGTAGTATATCGCAGTCTAATCATTTCTTTTAGACTATTCATAGTCAGGCCATACGAAATTCTAAAACCATTTTGAAACAGTGTGTTTGTAGTTAAGCACAAAGCTACACTATGGGCTATCCGTGCTGTACCCACTGCGGGCATTGTAACCCGTTTTAAAACGTTATAAGCTTTCAGACTTACGGCTGTGACACTGTGGGGGTGGTGGTGGGCACTTTGAAAGAATATAAACAAACTAATGTTCCACTTCATAAATAGATTTTCCTAGTCACTGATACCAGGGATATCTTTGAAAGTTGAGATAAATATGTATAACATTTGGAAGCGATACGTGACTGTCTATGAACCATAAATACATGTAATTCGCACGTCTCAGATCATATTGAATTCGTAAACGTATTGCAAGTGAGTTGTTCAATATTTTCTTATTATGAAACATAAAAGTAAACACTAGCGATAACTTTCAGAAGTAATTAAACGTAAAATATTTTTCTAGAGATAATGTTTATTGTTTGTTTTTCAACTGGCTCTAATGTAAGAACATCGCTTCGACGACAATTTGGGTCCATACCGTCATTTATAAGCTAGAGTGCTCTAACTAATGAATTCAAATATAGTGTTTAATAACTTATTTTAGAATAAAAAAATTTGACTTTTGACGCTATCTTGGTTTTTGTACACATTATGAAGTGATTAAAGGGCATTGTCTCAACAAAAAACAACAACAACAAACAATAACTCAGAGTCGATTGAGTTGTTTACACGCTAGAGGACACTGAACCCTATTTTCAAATATAGAAGAGAGATAACAGTGATTGAAAGTCACAACAAAAGTTCAGTTAAGGCGACACACTAGTTTTCATATAGTTTATCAAACAATAAAAGAGTATATAAAATTGGGAGATTTAGTGAGTCATTTACATGTTAGAGAGCACTGAACTTCATATATCATATATATATTCGCTGGAAGATAAAATACTTAAAAATAACAAAAAAGTTAAGTTTCAATGACACCCTCTATATTTTTCACATGTATTATTAAATGATAAAAGATACCTCTTTACCCCCAAAAATTGAGGCTTTATAGAATTGCTCACCAATTAGAGAGCACAGAACTCTATCTTTAGATGTATGAGGAAAGTAACAAACATGAAAATCACAAAACTATAGTTTAAATACTGCCTTATTTTTTACAACATGTTATTAGATGATAAAAAAGCACCCTTTAGCAAAAAATAAAAAAAATGGAAGAACGTCTGAGGTTCAACTTAATGTATTCATATGCCAGAAGACGTTGAACCTAGTTTTCAGATATATGGGAAAAAGCAAGATACTTTAAAATCCCATAGTTTCAGTTTAGATGCCTATCTAGATTTAACATGTTCATTAAATCATGAATAACACGTGTTTAACAACAAGTGGTGTAATGAGGAAGTCGACTAAGATTAACAAGAGGATGATACACCAGATGGATGGATAGTACAAAAACGAACATCAACATATTATACAACAGCTGAAATCATGGTACTGAAGAACATGCTTACTTAACATAGTAAAGTTTTTTGACAAATAAATGAATCTTTATTTTGACACTGACTCCCTAATGAAGGAGGGATGTTGAAAATAATCAGAGTTATAATAAGTTCTCAAAAGCTAGTGCTAACCTTGGTGCACAAGGCATCATTCCCTTGGGGGGTGATAAGGGAATTCAATTCACTTCGTTCAGTGGCAGGTGGTTTTACAGGACAGGTTGTAAGTTAGAAGATTGCACGATCTATACTATGAACTATAAAAGAAAAACCATAAAGGGATGTTGAAGAGGCCATCTGGGGCACCCTTGAATTAGGTGACAATGGATATTATGAAACTATTGGCTTTAATGACAACGAGACACAAATATGTACTTTGTTAGTGGCTGATTATTTTATAAAATGTAGAACATCAAATGTTTTGTCAGATTACACAGTTTTGACCATCAACTGCATCTTAGTGGAACAATTTTCTCCCTGATTCAGAATCCACATATAATTACAGTCAGTAACAATGCACATTTGGTCACAAATTTATAAAGAAATTTGATCTTAGAATTCTGTGAGCTTCTGGATATCATGAAGATGCGAATTTCAACCTACCTACCTCAATTATATAGTTTGGTGGACTGTGTTAACCATATGTTGAAAAATCTCTTAACAAAATATTTAACTGAAAACCACGACGATTGATACAAAATCCTTACATAGGTGGATAAGCTCTTTAAAGCTAGATGGTGCTTGAATCATCATCCTATTGACAAGTATACCTAACTTTCTCATAAATAATTTAACCTTTAGCACCGAAGGTCAGTGGTACTTCACAAGAATCAAAATACTGATGTAGAAACCTGTTAAATTTAAAGCAGTCATGTGGTACTTATGGGTTACTTTGTGAAATTGCACTTGCAACTTTACACAGATAAATTACTTCAGGCAGATAACTATAATAAGAAAAGGTTCTAAAAAAACCTGTACGTATATGTTAAGTAAAAAGACCCATTTATAATTATCAACATTTTATTTTCGTAATGATTATGAAGCTCTGTAAAAATTATCTATGAAGCACTGCAGTAAAGTTTTTGAAATGTCTTTAGAGGACAATAAAAATAACACCACTTTAACTTCATTACAACCATGTTGAAATACCCATTGATGTTTGTTTTGGTGATGATAAGCCTATACCATAATGGAGTACTTGATTTATTACTAATATGATAACATAGGCAGCGCCTAGCGACAGATGCAGTTCCATAAACTACATTTTTGATACACCAGCTGTTCATACTAACTAGTCAGAAGTGTGGCATAGACCTATTCGAGTTGTTGAACCAATATCACTTTTTGTTGCCATGGCTGTGTTCTCTTAAAAATATAATCGAATAGTTTCAGTTACAGAATGAAAAAATATATTTTTTATCGCACGCACCCTATCTGTGAATGAGCAATTTAAAATTTATACATAGAGAAATT